TTCACGAATGATGACAGAGTTGCTATAAAGAAGCTCCATCAAGTGTTTGGTCAAGAAATCTGGGAGAGAGTGGTGTTTGTCCTAACCTTTGCAAATTTGGAACCATTAGACAAATGGGATGAAAGAGATAAAGATGACAAAAGTGAAGAACCTGATGAAGAAGATGAAGATGCTTGGAAAGAACTGAGAAAAAAACGACTAGCGGGTAGAGTTCAACTTTGTAAAAAAGAATTGAACACAACTGTTAATGAACTCCTGCTATCACTTGATTCAGGGAGGCATCAAGAAGCAGCTCAAAATATAAAATTTGAAGTCCTTCCAGCTGGGTATTATGTCCCCAAACATGATTGTGCTCTTAGTGGAGTCAACTGGCAACATAATCTTATTGCTTTATGCTGCGATACAGCAAAGCACAAGCAAAAATTGAAACTCAACAAAAGTAAGATAATAAACATTACTTCCATTTGTCTTTCAATAATTTTCATAGAGATATATTTAGCTGTTATCATTGATAATCGTGGAAAGGTCAAGGTGGAGAATGAAGAAAGGATATTAAATGATGAAGCAGCAGCTCTTAAAAAAGCTTTTGAAGATCTCAAGTTTGCTGTTCTTTACTTTAACAGCCTCTCCTCAGAATCAATAGCTACTTTGCTTGAAGCAATAAGCAAAGCAGATCATTCCCAATTACTGATGATAGCTCTAGTATTTCTTAGTAAAGGGAAGACATCTGAGCTTTATGATGCTGATGGTGTGGCAATGCTTTATGCAGCTGTGTTTGATCATTTTTCAGAATGTCCAATACCAGTTATATTCTTTTTTGATTCAGCAAATGGTGATATACAGAAAAAGAAAAATTCCACAGCCAATGAAACACCAAATGCAAGTGATGATGATGTAGAGAATGAGAATGATTCCACAGATGATGATATATCAAATGAGAATGAAGATGATGTGCTGTTACAGAGCAAGAATGATTCTGCAATCGATGATATAGGTGTACAAAATTCCATAGCTGATAACACACCTGATATCAGTTTGGCTCCACTTAATTGCCCCAAAAATTCTCTAGTTCTTGCTGCTACACACAATTCAGCATCATCTCCTGTAGTGAAAGAGTTTACAGAAAAGCTGAGCCACACCAGTGTCCAAGAATGCTTTGAAACAATATGTGCTAATAATAATAGCACTACTGTGAAAAGCATATGGCATGACACTGTTGGGGATAACTTATTTATTGTCAAATCAACTAATGACAGGTAGGGCAAATTTGGCTTAAATTATGTCAAATTATTTCTTAGCATTGAAACTCATAAACAAAAATTGGAAGTATACCATTCAATATGGTACCCAGTCCGTTGCAAGACAATAGACAAGTTGGAAGAAAGCAGGGGAGGAATCATGTCAGTAGTACGTAAGGCAAGTAAAGCTCAAATAGCAACTACTGTTTCTGGCATCATAGTAGGTAGTGGTCTAGCTATAACAGGAATAGCTCTCGTTCCATTCACGTTTGGTGGGTCTATTGCTATATCTGCACTAGGTGGTGCTGTAGGGGCAGGGACAGTTGCTGGTGGTGCACGTTTTGCTGCTTTCATTGCGGCAAGAGTCCTTAAAAAGAAAAAGTTAAAAAAAACACAACAGCATATCAACCTTGATCAGCAAATTAGTTTGATGATAAATGAAGAAGCCTTAGAATATAATCAAATGATGACATCAGCTGTATCTCATGTGCCACAGAGCACAGCTGCATCTCAAGTACCAGAATCTTCAGCAAGCAGTTTACAAGGTGCAGCAGCCATTGGTAGAGATGCAACTGCAGGTTTTGCAATTGCAGAGGGTACAGCAGAAACAATTGGAACTGCCCTATACACTGCTGGCCCTGTTGCTGGAATGGCTTTAGCTGGAACCGCATTAGCTGTAACAATACCAATTGATATTGATTCTATTATATATCATAGCTACAACATACACAAAGCAAAAAATGACCCAACTGGAAGAACAGCAAGCAATAAAGCAGTGAAAATGTTAAATAACACAATAGAAGGATTGCTCAAAGGTACAGTGTATATGTGTTATACATAAATATAGGAATTATAATAATTTCATTAGGCATGTGTCATGCAATTGATGAAGTTGAGTATGAAGTTCAAACTGGGAAAAATAATCTAAGAGATGATAAATGTGGCTATGAAATTGAGGTGCCAGTAAAAGATAAGGAAAAGTTTGCAGTCACAGTTCGCACTCTTTTCTCTGGTCCATTTGTCTATCCTAATGGGTATACTCTTGTAAGTGCTGTATATGATATCACAATGCCAGAGCTACCTCAACCAGCAACCATTAAGCTGGAGCATTGTGTTGATGAATCTGATCAGACTAGACCAGATTTGTGTTTTGCCATTGGCAGCGTTGACTTGAAGGAAAAAAAAATAACAATCAAAGAAGTTGATCAAGAGTTTAATGAATCAATTCAACAAAAAAGTAGCTGCCTATTATGCATATTGCACAAGAAAACATTGTAAGCGTAATAAAGCTATATGTGTTAGTTACTACAAATTCTTTCAGGCAAAACAAAGAAGTTGTGAGATATGCTGCTCAATGTTTTTATGACAGAAAATACAAGAACTTTTGGATTCTAAATATAGTCTTTACAAAGCTACTCAGTGCTAACTTCAAGGTATTTTATAAGTATATCATGCAAGTTATACTTACTCCCCTATTTTAGTATGCTCAAAAAAGATTTGGTTTTGAAGGCTCATGCAATTTATTTTTCTTTGATTCTTACATGTTCTCTCTTGACCTAACTTGCTTTAAAGATTCACATGAGTTCTCAGGATGGATGGTATCGCCAAATGATGATGAAGAAATGCCCAGCATTGTTAGTTACACAGTTACACTTGCAATATTACTTATTGCTATGATATTGTATAGATATCAATGGAAGACATTTATAGTGCTGAATTGAGGGAAGGGAGTGCTAAAGTGCATAAAAAAGCATTTCCCTCAATCAGTTTATATGTTTATATTTTCGATGAAAAAATTGCTACTGATGAAATAGATGTGTCATTCAAAATTGGAGGAACAAACTTAAGCATTAATATCAATCGTCAAAAAGAATAGATTTGTGCTTTAGTGATAATTATTAAAATGTACTTTTAATTATTTGAATTGTGATGATTACTGTATATACATGTAGAATTGTAGATAGGCCAAGCTGGTATGATTTTATTATTTTGTGTGCATTACATATTATGAAGTACAGAATTTAATTCTCAATAACTTTGTTATTTTCAATCAAATCATAATGGATACTTTGCTAAGTAAACTAGTTGTTGTGTTGGTATCAGTATATGACTTTAATTATCAACCCTGGGCCTAACAGCCCTTGGTATGATAAAAACCATCAATGCCTCACCTTGTTATACATACACATGTAATAGCATAAAAATAGCTAAGAAGGCCAATTAAAGTGATTTTTATTTTGACTAAACTACATGTACGTGTACATGTATCACCTATGGTAAGTAAACAACACTGCATGTATGTGTAGGTAATACTGAGTATAACTACATGTAGTTCCTTTATCCTTTATTGCATTAGTAGTCTCTCCATTTCCTTTATCTGAGCTATCCTGCAGACTCTAAAAATTAAGATTTAAAATAAATAGTGCATATGTACTACGTACATCTATACAGTGCTGAATATTCTGTAAATATCAATAAACTTACTGCCTTCTCAAAGTCTGGTTGTTCTTGTTCTCTTGCTAGTTGTAATGGGGTCAGTCCTAGTGTTAATACTTGTGGGTCCATCCCACAATACAATAACTTTAGTATTAGCCATGTACGAGCAGCATCATCTATACCATGATCTAAATATACCTACAATAATACACAATGATATTAATAAAGGGTTTGTTCAGCTATACATGCATGTTTTATACATGTACATGCAGATGTAGAACTGAATTCACAAAAAATGAATTTGAAGCACGGTTGTGAATGCCCATCCAGAAAAACCTAATCATGTGACTATCATGTGATTATATATGGTACCTGTACAATAGCTAGAAACAAATAACAGCACTTCATGTCAAATATTAGGTCAATCAAAATAGTGTACTAAACAGTACTATAGAGACTGAAGTAAACTATTCAATGTTAAATACATGTATGAGTATGTGGCCAATATGACCACAATGGGATTAGGCAGGTCCTTTGTCTGG